CCAATTCTATCTTGGTGGGGGTTCAGCATATCTGCATATGCTCTCTGATTGTAAGTGAACTATAAATCCCAAAACTACAACACCCAAATGCCAAGATCTATTTTCCCCAAACTCCATCAGTGTTCACTTTTGGGCATATTGAGTATTCATGCCAAGTTTGGTTCAGATCCATCATTGTTTGAGTCCACAGTGCTCTCTGGATGAAGGTGAACTACAACTCCAAAACTCAAGGTCAATGCCCACCAGTATTTTCTGTTCATCATAGGAGTTTTGTGTGCAAAATTTGGTTCAATTCCATTGTTGGTGGAGTTCAGAATGCTCTTTGATTGTAGGTTAACTATAAATCCCAGCAACTGCAACTCCCAAATGACAAAATCAATCCACCCCCAACCCCACCAGTATTCAAATTTCGGAGTATCGGGTATTTGTGCCAAATTTGATCCAGTGTATGAAAATACATCCTGCATATCAGATAATTTACATTATTATTTATAACAGTAGCAAAATTACAGTTACGAAGTAGCCACGAAAATAATTTTATGGTTGAGATGTAACCCCAGAAAGTCCCAAAACACTGATACACAAGTAAAGAGCATTCACTTGTCACTCACAGCTGTAAGTATACCTTTGTCTTAGCCCTTTTCCAAATGGCATATTACTTTCAAATATATTTTGAAGAGAAAAAAATGAAAGGAAGTCAATATTTATCTTCCTCAATTTCTGGGATCTTTGGTTTTGCAATGAAAGCTGATAAATCTACATCCTCCTGGTAAGCCTTGCATTTGTGAAAGATCTTTTGTTTTACAAGAGAAAAAAATCTCAGTGCATACTAAGCTTAATCATTAACTTTAGGTTTGAGACTATGGAACAGATCAATGGTTTATTCAGTGAAAAATGGAAACGGAGAGATAACAAACCCTCTGAACCAGCACTAGTTTTCCTCTCCTTCACTACACTGATACACAGTTGTCCTTCTGCAGTTTTGATTTTCGTGGATTTGATTATGCATTGATTTAATTTAAAATGTTATATTCTATACATTTCTAAGTTCTCTAATGCAGTTCTATGGTCAGCTCACTGCAGAAGTTGATCATAAACTTGTGTTGGAAGACCTAGACATTAACATAATTAATGTATATACACACAAACACACATGCTTCTTTCATTGTGCATTTAAACCAATATTAGATAACCACATGTGCTTTACCAGTGGATTCCTATTAGAGAGTTAGGGCCCTTTCACACAGCTATATAACCCAGAATATCACTGCAGAATAACCCACAATATTTGCTTTGCACTGGAATCTCTTGGAGCCCCCGGTGGCGCAGTGGGTTAAACCCCTGTGCCGGCAGGACTGAAGACCGACAGGTCACAGGTTCAAATCCGGGGAGAGCCGGATGAGCTCCAGCTCCTCATGTGGGGACATGAGAGAAGCCTCCCACAAGGATGATAAAAACATCAAATCATCCGGGCGTCCCCTGGGCAACGTCCTTGCAGACGACCAATTCTCTCACACCAGAAGTGACTTGCAGTTTCTCAAGTCGCTCCTGACACGACCAAAAAACCCACAAAAAAACTGGAATCTCTGAGCCCACACTGCCATAAACCCCAGTTCAAAGCAGGTAATGTTATAGCTTTTAAATTGTAATCCATATTGTTTTTAGTGCTGCAAGCCACTTTTATTTTTATTTTTTTATTTGGATCTTGCTTTATCTCTCTATACTAAGACTCAAAACGGCTCATCATTAAAAACATTCCTACTTAAAATATGCAAATATACAATAATACATCACTATATATTATCAGAAGTAACTATATTTAATATATTAGTATTACTATATAAAGGTAAAGGTTTCCCTTGAAATTAAGTCTAGTCGTGTCCAACTCTGAGACGCCTCCAAGGTCATGTCGCCAGCATGACTGCATGGAGCACCATCATCTTCCCGCAGAAGCTGTACCTATTGATCTACTCACATTTGCATGCTTTCAAACTGCTAAGTTGGCAGAATCTAGGGCTACCAGTGGGAGCTCACCCCATTCTCCGGATTCGAACCATCAACCTTTCGGTCAGCAAGTTCAGCAGCTCAGCAGTTTAACCTGCTGTGCCACTGGAGGGCCCATAGTATCACTATCTTACAATATTATTATATATTATTATATTGTATTATTAGTAGTATTATATTGTACCTCATAATATTATCAGCATTATATGTATATATAATATATTATATTATTAGCTTAGCACAATATTAGTATTATATATTATTATATTGTACTATACTGCAATGTTATTAGTAATATTACACATAAAGAAGGCTGCTCTGGGTCAGAGTGAAGAGAGCGAGGCCAGGAAGACAGTTCCATCTTGTCTCCTGTGCTATACTAATAATATAATATAATATATTGCATATACATATAATATTTATAATATTACTAGCTGTCCCTTGCCACGCGTTGCTGTGGCCCAGTCCGGTGATCCGGAAAATAATGAGAAGATGTTGATTTCTAATATATGTAATGTCTTGATGCTTGTGGGTAAACAGTATTTATTGCTGTTCCTTTGTCAGTGTTGATGTGGAGATTGTCTGTTTTGCGTACTCTGGAACATGCAACATATAATTGTCCTTCTTTAGAGGTCCCTTTGAAATCTATGATACTGCATATGTCATATCCATATATATGTGTGTCTGTGAATTATATCTATCAATCTATATCTATGGCGGGATGGCTCTCTGTCAGGAGGGCTTTGATTACATTTTCTTGCCCTGGTGAAGGGAGTTGGGACTGGATGGCTTTAAGTATTTTCTGTTGGTCATGGGGTTCTGTGTGGGAAGTTTGCCCCAATTCTGTAATTGGCGAGGTTCAGAATGCTCTTTGATTGTTGGTGAACTATAAATCCCAGCAACTACAACTCCCAAATGTCAAGGTCTATTTCCCCAAACTCCATCTGAGTGCATATTTGGGCATATGGATTATGCCCAAATATGTATTTGTGGCAAGTTTGGATGTAGGTGAACTACATCCTGGATGTAGGTGAACTACAGGCAGATCCTGGATGTAGGTGAACTACAACTCCCAAACTCAAGGTCAATGCCCACCAAACCCTTGTGTTTTCTGTTGGTCATGGGAGTCCTGTGTGCCYCATTTGGTTCAATTCCATCATTGGTGGAGTTCAGAGTGCTCTTTGATTGTAGGTGTACTATGAATCCCAGCAACTACAATTCCCAAARGACAAAATCATTTTTTTTTTTGAGTGAAGGACATACATTGGGATGTTAGGTGTATGCTGTTCAGATTTGGTGTCAATTCATTCAGTGGTTTTTGAGTTCTGTTAATCCCACAAACGAACATTACATTTTTATTTATATAGATCATGTAATACAATATAATAATACTAATAATAATACAATACAATATAATGGTATAGTACAATATAGTAATATATAATACTGATATTGTGCGATGCTAATAATATAATATATTGTATGTATGTGTGTGTGATATATATTTCAGAAAAACATCTATTTCTGCTTCATTGACTATTCTAAAGCCTTTGACTGTGTGGATCATAATAAATTGTGACAAGTTCTTGGTGGGATGGGCATACCAAGCCACCTTGTCTCTCTCCTGAGGAATCTGTACAAGGACCAAGTAGCAACAGTCAGAACTGACCACGGAACAACAGACTGGTTCAAGATTGGGAAAGGCGTACGGCAAGGCTGCATACCAACCTTTTTAACTTGTATGCAGAACACATCATGCGACGTGTGGGGCTTGATGAATGCAAGGCTGGGGTGAAAATTGCTGGAAGAAACATTAACAATCTCAGATATGCAGATGACACCACTCTGATGGCCGAAAGCAAGGAGGAGCTGAGGAGCCTTCTAATCAAGGTGAAAGAAGAAAGCGCAAAAGCCGGGTTGCAGCTAAACGTCAAAAAAACCAAGATTATGGCAACAAGAATGATTGACAACTGGAGAATAGAGGGAGAAACCGTGGAGGCCGTGACAGACTTTGTATTTCTAGGTGCAAAGATTACTGCAGATGCAGACTGTGGCCAGGAAATCAGAAGACGCTTACTTCTTGGGAGGAGAGCAATGTCCAATCTCGATAAAATAGTAAAGAGTAGAGACATCAGACTGGCAACAAAGATCCGCCTAGTCAAAGCCATGGTATTCCCTGTAGTAACCTACGGATGTGAGAGCTGGACCTTAGGGAAGGCTGAGCGAAGGAAGATCGATGCTTTTGAACTGTGGTGCTGGAGGAAAGTCCTGAGAGTGCCTTGGACTACAAGAAGATCCAACCAGTCCATCCTCCAGGAAATAAAGCCCGACTGCTCATTGGAGGGAAGGATACTAGAGACAAAGTTGAAGTACTTTGGCCACATCATGAGGAGACAGCAAAGCTAGAGAAGACAATTATGCTGGGGAAAGTGGAAGGAAAAGGAAGAGGGGCCCACCAAGGGCAAGATGGATGGATGGCATCCTTGAAGTGACTGGACTGACCTTGAAGGAGCTGGGGGTGGTGACGGCCGACAGGGAGCTCTGGCGTGGGCTGGTCCATGAGGTCACGAAGAGTCGGAGACGACTGAACGAACAAACAACACACACACACACACACACATATATATATATATATGTTGTAAGCTGCTCTGAGTCCCCTTCGGGGTGAGAATGTCATAAATATAAATGTCATAAATAAATATTATATTGTTATTATATATTATTATATTGTACTAAATTATTATACAGCATATATAATACACTACCAGTATATAATACTATTAGTATTATATAATACTTTGAAGGCAAGATATAAATAAGCATCATTATCATATAACAAAAGCAATTCGGATCAAACCAGACAATAAAGTCCATCTTGTTTGACTGATAGGATTCCCCTTGAGCTTGTCTCATCTTCCTCTTCCCAAGCAGCCTTATACCGCGCTTGAACCGCATCCAGCAGCGGGGAGTTCCGCAGGGGAACGGTTGACTCCTACCTGTAGGGTCCTATGGCGGCAGGAGCCTTCGCAGAAGTGATGATCCTCTTCACTAACGTGGCCATGATCAGATTGATCCTTTCTGAGTCCGAAAAAAAAACGTAACAAGTGAGTGGAAGAACTCAGCCTTGCCTCCCGGACTTTACCCGTCCTCCTCCTCCTCCCTTGGCCCCGCCCTCTTCTAAAACTCGCGCGCCATTCATTCAGCGGTATTGAGAACCTCCCCGCCCTCCGTAGCCCTCCCGCGAGAGAGAGAGAGAGAGAGAGAGAGCTTTGGAGGAATGCAGTCTCGAGGAAGCCGGAAGTGGGCGCCGCGCGTGGCCAGAAGAGAAGCGGAGGGGGAAAGCTGACTGATTCTGTGCTTCTTTGAGGCCTAGGCCAATATCGCAGGTAAAAGGGGATAACACTGACAGGAAGAGGGAAGCAAGGGAAATGGGGCCACATTGGGTGCTTCTACATCAGGCCTGGGCAAACTTAGGCCCTCCAGGTGTTTTGGACTCCAACTCCCACCATTCCTAACAGCCTCAGCTTAAGCGGCTGAGGGGGAAAAGGAAGGGGCCTGAGGCTGTTAGGAATGGTGGGAGTTGGAGTCCAAAACACCTGGAAAACCCAAGTTAGTCCATCCCAACAGAAGGGACCCCAAAGGGGGTCATCCAGCCCAGCCCCTTTCTCCCATCCAAACACTAACCAGGACTGTCTCTGCTTAAGTTTCAAGGTCAAGTGGGTTCTTGGCAAGGTTTTGCTCGGATCGGGCTTGTCTTTGCCTTCCTCTGCATTATATTGTATTATTGTACAATATATACATTATATTATTATTATTTATTAAACTTTATTTGTACCTCGCTAGCATCTCGGCCTATGAGCCCACGAGGACTTTGAGATCTTCCGGGGAGACCCTGCTCTCGATCCCGCCTGCGTCACAGGCACGGCTGGCGGGGACGAGAGATAGGGCCTTCTCGGTGGTGGCTCCTCGGCTGTGGAACACCCTTCCCGTGGACATCAGGCTAGCCCCCTCCCTGCTAATATTCCGCAGGAAGTTAAAGACCTGGCTATTTAAGAAGGCATTTGATCAAGAAGTGCAATGACTGGTAATTTGACCATAGGAATGGAACAACGGAAATGATATTGGATTGTGGGTTGACGATGAGACGATTCGGAATGTAGTAGAAATTTTGTAGTAATGTTGATGTTTTGATAAGATGTTTTTCTGATAATGATGTGGATTATTTTGCACTATGTTTTGTAATTTGCACTTGTTTTTTCATGTTGTACACCGCAATGAGTCGCCCTTAAAGGGCTGAGAATTGCGGTATATAAGCGCAGTAAATAAATAAATAAATCTCCTAGAGGATGCGATGCGGCTTACGCAGGCCAAAGCCTCAACAACACAACATAACAATACAATCAAGCAAATCAAACAATTAAAACAAATTAAAGCAAAGTAAACAACAAGCACAGTACATTAAAACACAATAAAACTGGGCCGGGCCAAAAGATGGGTACAAGGATTAAAAGTGCTGATTTGACAGGAGGTGTATAAAGGGTTACTAGGGCAAGTGCGATGTGCGGTGTGCAGCAATCATTGGTTCTGGTAAAGTGCTTGTGGGACTCGGTAGTGGAGATTTCCTAATCTGGGAAGGCGCATCGGAAGAGCCAGGTTTTTAAGTTCTTTCTGAAGATAGCCAATGAAGGGGCCTGTCTAAGGTCTTTGGGGAGGGTGTTCCAGAATTGGGGGGCCACTACGGAAAAGGCCCTGTCCCACGTCCCCACCAAGCGCGCTTGCGACGCCGGTGGGATCACGAGCAGGGCCTCTCCAGATGACCGAAGAGAATGCGTGGGTTCGTAGATGGAAATGCGGTCACGCAGGTAGGCTGGTCCCAAACCGTTCAGGGCTTTGTAGGTAAGCACCTACAAAGCACCACCTATTGTATTATTATTGGCGAACAAATTGAAACTGAATCCAGACAAGACAGAGGTACACCTGATCAGTCAAACTATAGCGAGTATACAACAACCCTATTAAAACAGCTTCATTGGCTGCCGATAAGTTGCCAAGCTAAATTCAAGTTGCAGGTCATGACCTATCAAACCCTAAACGGTTCAGGTCCCGCCTATCTCTGCGATAGCGTCTCTTTCTATGAACTGGCACGAGTTCTAAGATCTTTCGGGGAGGCCCTCCTCTCGGTCCCACTACTGTCTCAAGCGCAGTTGGGGACAAGAAAGAGGGCCTTCTCAGTGGTGGCCCCCCATCTCTGGAACGCCCTTCCAAGGGAAATAAGGCAGGCCCCATCCCTCCCCTCCTTTTGTAAGAGCTTGAAGACCTGGTGGTTTCAATAAGCTTTTGAAAATGACCAGTTCTAACTCAGCCCCACACATTGTCTAATACGGCCTTATTCTTCCTACCGGTTACCCAGATTCTTTCCTCTAATCGGCCTAATATTATTGTTGCCTGCCATAACATTGCACTTAATTCCCGGGCCCCCTAGAATTTTTGGGCTTGCGCAAATCTTGGCCTCCTGGACTTTTAAAATTTTAATTGCCTTTAACAGGCAGGATTACTTTTAATAAATGTGTGTTATGGTGACAATTTTTATGTTTATACTAGCTGTCCCCTGCCACGCGTTGCTGTGACCCAGTCTGTTAATCTGGAAAATAAAGTAATGTGTTGGTTTCTAATATATACAATTTCTTTCTGCTTGTGAGTAAACAGTATTTCTTGCTGTTTCTTTGTCAGTGTTGATGTGGAGAGTGTCTGGTTTGCCCACCCTGGAACATGCAACATATCATTGTCCTTCTTTAAGGGTCCTTTTCAAATCTATGATACTATATCTTTGTGTGTGTGAATCACATCTATCTATCTCTATGGCTGGATGGCTCTTTGTCAGGAGGACTTTGATTACATTTTCTTGCCCTGATGAAGGGAGTTGGATTAGTATTTTCTGTTGGTCTTGGGGGTTCTGTGTGGGAAGTTTGCCCCAATTCTGTCGTTGGTGGGGTTCAGACTGTTTGGAAGCTTCAAATGGTGCAGCGGGTGATAGCCAGGTTGCTAATCAGAGCAGTGCTCAGGGAGCATACAACTGACTTTCCGGAAAAAAGACCTGGCTCATTGAACAAGCTTTTGGAAACACAGTGTAACAGATAGATATGATACTATGAAAGACTGAACATGGAACGGCTTAGACGATGCTAATGGAAAATGAGTTTAACTGGAAGTTATTATATGTTTTTAATGATTTTTATATGGATTTTTATTATGTTATGTTAAATGTTTTAATGGTATTTATGACTGTTGTGGCATCAAATTGCTGCCAATTTGTAAGCCGCCTTGAGTCGCCTTTGGGCTGAGACAGGTGGGATAGAAATAATGCAAATAAATAAATAAATTATAGGGCAGTGTAGACCCAGCCTGGAAGAGTAATCATAATCATAATAATACTTTATTTGTAACCTGCCCTATCAATGTGAGGGGACTTAGGGCAGTTTTGAGCAACTAACAAAATAACAAACATTCAGTGTCAAAAACAGATGAACAACAAATCAAATAAGAAACAATAGATATGACAATCTCAGTATAAACCTATGAACTAAACAAAAAAAAACTTCCAAAATTAAAACTTAAATAAACATAATCTAATACATCACATACATTTACTATGATAAAATTTCACAGGTTACAAGTTAGACCAAGAAAACGTTAAAAGCATAAGGTAGTTTATGGCTTCCAACGAGCTGAGGTAGGTGTCCAATATCTGGGCGAGGGTATATAAATGATGTATTACTCCTCCTCCTCTCCATAAGCTAAGGTGCATAAATGGGTGGCTTTTCCCAACCAATACTGCTGAAAGGGGCCTACGTTGACTCAGTATCTGGCTCTGCAGTTTGAGGATAGTGGAAAGGCTCCAAAAAATCCAAGATAATAGAAGAGAAAAAACTGTCAGTATTGAACTAACCAAACATTGAGATAAGTTTCAGTCGCTAGGTCTATGCTTTTGCGGCAGTCCACTTTTGATATATTTTGTGTAATTTCTTTCACTAGATCAGGATGCGTGCTTTATGTATTCATCAGCTTCTCTGACTGCAAGTGCCTGACATGCTTCTCTGCTGGAGCTAAATGCATTTGCTGTGCAGTAGAAGTGAGGTTGCGTCTAAATGCCTTTTCTTCTCCTGCAGAAATGTCCAAGGCAAAAGAAAAGAAAAGAGCCAAGAAAATGAAGAATCAGCCTTCAAGTGTGACCTATCCCGGTGACAGTGGGCCTAGTCACAGTGAAGCATACTTTCAGAATGGTGGAGATAGAACTTTTCAACGCAAGAAGAAAGGTAGTTCTTACGGATTTTATTGAGCTTAATGGCTGAATTTGCTTCAGAAATGTAACTAACCATAGCATTTTGATATATACATGTGTATGTGCCTTCAAGTTTAAGAACTGGTTAGCAGGGCCAAATCTGACACTCCCCAGAAGGTGCTGTTTGTCATATTGTATAATGAAAATTGTGCTGTGAAGGAGTGGGGAATAGTAGTTCACTATGCTCACAGAAAAGGGAGACATCTGCTGGGAAAGAAAGATTATGGCTGCATGAAGAATCACTTCCAGGGGAGCATCAACATTGTAGAATTAATGCAGTTTGACACCATTTAACTGCCATTGATCAATGCTGTGGAATCCTGGGAGTTTTTATTTGGTAAGGGACTAGCCCTCTTTTGCAGAGAAGGTTAAAAACATCGATTCTATAGTGTTGAGTTTAAGTGGTATGAAACTGCATTAACTTTACAGTGGATATGCAGTCCCAGATTAAGAGAGGCAGACCTAGGCTCAAAGCTACATGAATAATAATTGTATCTCAGGCTCCATCTCAGGCCGACCATATAATGTAGTTCTATCTGTATGAAATAGTGTAGATCGGGCCTCAGTTGTGCAGCAGAGTCTTTTCAAATGAGATAATGAGGAATGTTTGGAAGTTGCAACCCTGTTATAGTGTTGTATAGCTATCAGGCTAAAATATTATTTAGATAATCAAAAATTAACTTCTTATTTACTTAATAGATCAAATAGACTGAGACTTCTAACAAGATCACCAATATAGATTGTAGCTATGTATCCATTTTGTAGTTCAGTTATAACATTTATCTCTTTGATTTACCATTAGATACCCATTTTGAAACCTCACAACAAAG